TTAGCAGGGGGCGGGGCCACGCCCACTTTTCCAAAAAAATTACGTCCAAGTATGCCCCTCGCTAATGCTAACCTTCTTATGAAGCCAATATATACGTGTACCGAATTTCATCATGATATCTCAATTTTTACTCAATTTACAGCTTGCACGGACGGACGGACAGACGGATTTCAACTCTACTCGTCACCCTGATCACTTTGGTATATACAACTCTATATCTAGCTCTTTTAGTTTTAGGACTTACAAACAACCGTTATGTGAACAAAACTGTACTATATACTCTTTAGCAACTTTGTTGCGAGAGTATAAAAACAAAAGGCAGGATTCGCTTTGCAACAAGGCTGCTGCTAAGTTAATACCGATGGCGCCAAAATAATGTTATCTGTAGCATTTTGTAATTAATTTAATGTGACTTTTTCTAACAGCTGACAACTATTATGCGGAACCACAGAAATATATAGAGTACATACAAACAAATTGAATTTTATGTTTCATTGTGCAGCTTTGATAGTATTTGTGTAATAGTTTTTAGCTGATGCCTGACATACATGCCTATTTATTCCTTGGATTAGTAAACGAGACGTGTTGGCCGCACATAGTATGTCTTTATTAAGCTGAAATAAAGTACTTCGTGCAAATAGAACGAAGAGTTGTATATTGTATATATTCTCATATAACTGGTTAAATGTAAGAGAGATGCTAACATAAAAGTTAAATTCAACTAATTTAATAAAAGAGAAAGTGACGTTACCTAGCATATGGCACAACAAACATCGCAATCCAAAAGCTCATTTAATTTATAGCATTACGCTTATACCACCTGCCTTTTCGATAGGTCTCTCTTCACAGTTTTGTGATTAAAAACCATAAAATGTTAAATACTCTTCTCCACTATAATTTGAATAATCCAACCTTTGCAAAATTTTGGAAAATCATCGATTTCATGCTAAATATATTCAGAAGCGCAGGTGCAAGTACTTTTACATATTTTTGAAAAACATAAGAAAGACTTAGGACTTAGGATACCAAGTATTATTAAATATTATCTACTCATAACAAGTCCCAGAGATCTTTCCTCAAATAATCGTTTACAGTAAAAAATCTGACAAGGGTGTATAATATACTAACTAAACTAAATCCGATCAAAAAAATTTATATGTGGTTAGAAAACTTTTTGTGTTTTAACATAAAGGATTCAGACTTGAGAGCTGTGGCGTAAACGCAGCCGAAATAGGAACCAACCTTCAAATTTTCTTATATGTAGATAGCGTCTCATTAGTGTTTGGTTGGACTGTAGTTTAGGCTCGTAATACAATTTTCTAAAGCTTTTGTAGAACAACGACCAAATCGACCAATTAGAGGTCTCATAGAAATATGCGCAAAGGAAATCAATATGTAAGTGAGTCAAGAAAGTCACCGTCAGTTAGTAAGAATTATTATAACTGCAAAGCCGACATATTGTAAATGGAGAAGGACAAATTTTTTGCATCCCAGTATATGGATTTTAGCAAGCAGATTTTTCAGAATTTCCAAACTTACTCAGTTTTTCAGTGACAGTAGCTCTTTATTTAGGCTCCAACTTCAAATAAACAATAAACCAAGCTAGATATTTTTCTGAATAAAATTATTAGATATGTATGTGCTTGAAATGAAAAAGCTTGAGTTGTTGTAAGAACTTGATGATTTTAGCCCTTTTAACATTTTAATTATTCCTTCGTCTAACTAAACTGATATCCATGTTGTATTTGTTTTTTTGTATTACGCTGTCATATGAAATTGGAATCCACAGACGCTTTACGAGTTAAAGTACAGTGGGTAAGTACAACTAAAAATGTATTTAACATATTTTTATAACTAAATATGTGTATATAACAAACTAGAAGTAGTAACCTTATCAAAAACCAAAGCAAATTCGGTTGCACCTAGCTATAAAAATTATCATTAATAAAAAAAAAAAATCGTCCACATGATTTGTTCGGTCCTTTGTGGTATGCTATAGAAGTCCAATTCAAACAACTTAAACGGAGATTGTGTCCTTGACTTGGAAAATAATTCTGATAGATTATTTAAAGTGAGCTCACCTCAAAAAACAAGATGCTATGTATTGGTTTGTCTCTTTGCATGACAGCTACATAAATATGTATATGCCATAATGGTTCGGTAAGAACAAATTATTTGGAGATCTCAGCTTTGCCTTGGACTTATATTTGCCCAATTTTGTGAAGATATCTTGTCAAATAATGACCATTTCGAACGGTAGCTATATGCTTTTTGGAGAGAAAAGGACGTGTGCGAAATTTCAGATGAATAAAAAAAATAAAATAAAAATTAAAGTCTTGTTCGCAAATATACTCGCAGACATGACTAAATTTATTAAGTTCGTCACGCTATTCATTTGAATGTATATACTAATATTTTATAGTGTCTTCGACATTTCCTTCTGGGTACAGCAAATTCGTGCTAAACTTCGTATAATCTGTTTATGGTATAAGAAGTTTGACTTATTGTTTTATATTTCCAAAACCCAGCATATCTACTTTAATTCAGTCAAGCCTGTGATCTCTTAAACTGATTTGTATCATTTTTTTGACACTAATTGCCTTGAACTTTATTATTTATTATAACATTTGGAATTCCTAACAACTAAAAGTTGTGACTTATGACTGTTTAAATTTGTATATAGTATTTTTCTTACCTTATCAAGTCAATAACAATGTTAATGCTCATTAAATTAACCATCTTCCTCATTGTTTTGCTTCAATATTTGCATCGAGCAACCTCATAAATGCGGCTACTTTTGCGTAATTGATATTTCTGTTACTTTCACTCACTCTTCCCCATATTCATATATGCAAACTCTTGCCCACACTTTCTGTCACGCTCTCTTTGCTTTATTTATTGCAGGCCTACGAATTTTAATTACCAGCGCCAATGGCCATTAGTTTTGCGTGCTTCGGCAGTGGGCAACAGCAGCGCGTAGTCAAGGAAAAAGCGACAGAAATAGGCAAGTGAAACGTGGACGAGCCAAGGAGCAATTAAAGATCTAGTGAAAGTATAAAAGTTGGCCGAAAAAGCGGGCGAAGGTGGTTCGGTGGTTCGGTTATTGGTGTACAAGCGGCATACATGTTTTTGAGGCATTAGTTAGGTGTGGGAGTACCTATGAATAACAGCAATGGAGGCAAGCAAAGCAGCGAAAGAATGTAAATGGAAGCGAGACGCAGCTAATCGCCTAGCAATGATTGAATGCTTGGCAGCTGCCATTTGAAGGAGTAAAAAGCAGCGACATTTGGTTTTTGAATATTAGAGATGTTCTAAGAATTGTTTGAAAAAGTTAATTGGAAAAAAAAAAAAAAAAACAGAAAAACGATTATTATTTTCAATACGGCCATATTATACTGTTATGTGTAATTAGTGGAATTTACATACAGTATATGTAAAAAGAGTAGTAGATTCACCATTTCCTGTGGGTCCAACACATTTGTATATACAAATTTCGAAATCCAAATTTTTAAATTTTTTTGAATTTGTTTGAGAATTTTTACTTTTTTTTATGGAATATTCTTGTTGAAACACAGTTAGCTATTCATGCAATATCATATTTATAAAAAAGTTAAGAATCTACTCATTTAAGGGTACCAGGGTATCCCTAATATGAACCTAAAACAAAGTTGCTCAATTATGGAGTACTTTCTTTTCCCGTTCAACGTGTTTCTTTCACGGTTTAAGGACATTATTGGCCACGTGCTATAGGGTGGGATAAAATATATACAGGTATTTTGTCACTTTATTTCGTGGTTGGTAGATAAATTCATGAAGATGCAAAATTATGTCTTAAACAAATTGAACTGCAATAACAAGTTGAATGGTGAGAAAGAATGTATTTGTGGATAATTCAATTTCCCACAATATGTGCGAAACTGTTTTTTTCAAATAGTATATAATGAGATATGAATTTTTGATGTGGATGATCTTTCTAATGATATGTGGAGGTCATATGAGAAGAGTATATTTTGGCAATGTCTACCAACCAATTCTGCAGTTTACAAAGTGAAAATAATAATCTATTTTTTTTAGCCCACCCAAATCACTCACCGACCAAAGGGCCGCCAACACATTGCTTTTGGCACTTGAGCTTCTTGCAATTGTAGCTGTTGTTTGTATATTTTATAATTTAATTCTAATTTTTGCTGCTCTTAGCGCTTGCCACACAAATCAAAGTCTTCACGTTAACTTGCAATGCAGACAAGTGTTGTTTATTTTTTGTTTTTTTTTGTGGTATTTGCTTTGATTTTGCTTTACTCACTTATTTTTATGTGTGAATAAATTGAATTACAATGATTTAATTTTAGTTGTAAATTTACACATACACACTATTACAATGAAAGCATATGAATATGCGTACATGTGTACGCAATTACGAAGTAAACGAGCATTTGCTTAGAAATGTACAAATCAACGAACGATAATAAATGTAAAAAATTATTTGCAAGAGATACGAAGTGTTTTCATTTAACAGTATTGGCGAGGTGAGTATTTGGGTTGACGGGGCGTATGAGTAACATATCTCAAACTGCCTTCGACCTTCTTATTACATTAAATGCGAAGCGTCTTTACTTCAGATACAATTTGTTTCAATATGAATATGAATGTCATTGAGATAGAGAAGTGCTCTTAGTGTTATGGATATTGCTGCCGCTGGCGTATCAATTGAGGAAGACCCAAATCAGCCGGTCACACGTCGTGGATTGGACATCTCTGTGACGGCATTGTGTCGAATTTTGAGAAAAGATCTTGGTCTACAACCATACCAGATCAAATTGACGTAAGAACTGAAGCGGCAACTTGAAAATGATACTCAATGATAACCGAATATTTTTGCCCCGATTGGATGAAATGGAATTGAAAAATATAGGGCTTCAAAAGAACATAGCCACAAGCCACACAGCGAATCGCAGAATCGTCTAATTGAAAACCAAGTTTGATGAACGTGTTATTTCATGAAATGGTCCAGGAAATTGGTCACTCCGGTTGTGCGATATGACGCCGTTAGACTATTTCCTGTGGGGCTACGTCAAATGTATGCTAACAAGTCAACGACAATTGATGAACTTTGTACGAATATCGAAAATTGGGTTCATCGTCTGGACTTCTTCAAAGGTGCCGTGGTGGCAATGCAAAAAAAAAAAAAAAAAAAAAAAAAAAAAAAAAAAAAAAAAAAAAAAACAAAAAAAAAAAAAAACAAAAAAAAAAAAATTTATAAATTTTGTTGCGCTCTTGTTTGAAAAAACGTTATCTATAAATACTTGTATATCTATAACTGCACTCCTCCATCAAATTTCGTTTAATGTGGAGAAGAGCAATTGACGGATTGATGAAAAACGTCGGTTTAACCAGAAAATATAACCGGTATCAGAAAATAAACCGGTAGACCTTAAGCTTACTCAGAATAGATGAAGTTTAAAAGAAACATAAATTTTACTAATGAAGAGTAAGTTAACATGTTCAGGAATATCTTTTCAACAATTAATTTTTATTACCTTTAACCATAACCAAAATTTATTTTAACTGTAACTATAAACATTAAATATTATTATAATTATAATTATGTGGTGCCGTGTAGAGCTACTTGAGTAGGTAAGGTAAAATAAAAATATTTCATAATTCCTGTATTACCTTTGTAATCGACACTTTAACTTGTCTGTTCTCCAGCAATTAACGCACTATTTACCACAAACTGAAGCTGCAAACTCTTTAAAAGTTTTGCCAACTAAAGTTGTTGCATGTGGTAAAAGCGTTTAAAACTACAACAAAGGTATGTGAAAGTATAAGCAAGCCCAGCAGGAATAATATGGAAAACTGTTGATTATGAGTAAAAATCTACTGAGGGTTCACTAGGGCTTGATCTTCGATTTGAATAGTTATGGATTGGAGAGTACAGGTATATATAATCCTGTTTTACTGAACAATTGAAATACTTTTCCATAAACTTTATATAACATGCTTGGGAAAAGTTGTAGTTCCWCAGACTTGATGAAGGCTCAAATCGCTCATACWTAGGAAAAGTTCAGGCCACTCGTTGAAACCTCGTTTAAACCTGCCATGCTTGGTGAAAGCTCATAGCTGTAGGTCCCTCATACTTGGTGAAAGCTCTTATCTTAAGTGAGGAGCTGATTTCTCATTTGCACATTTTATTTTCTTATATGGTTTCTTCGTATACAGTATATCAGTACCTACTGAAACCACATTCTATCATACGTACAAGTATATGCTATATATACTATATGTATATACCCAAGCAACTTCTGCAATTTCAGATTGTTTTAAAAGCTTTAAAGTTCAAAAGTGAGTATTACAAAAATCTACGCAAATAAAGTCGTTTGCGACTACAAGAGAAAAGCAAAAGCTATAAGTGTTGAAAATACAATAAAACCATAAACGTTTGTAAACATATACTATACTTGTGTGAGGGTATACGTATGTAGGCGTAAAAAGTTGTAAACGGTGAACTTCTATACATACACACTTTAGTTGGTAAAAGCAAGTATGTGWATTTATATAACATATTGATGAGCTTGTGCTCTGTAATGGAAGCTTAAAGCAAATAATTAAGTATTCCGGTGAAAACTTCGCTGAAAATGGCACTTTAATTTGTTTGATAATAACGGTAATGGCTTGAAAAAGTAAAATGTGAAACAAACAACAGGTTGAAAGGTAATATGCGCAGGGTTCTTATAAGTGCTAATAAAATAAAGAAAGATAAGGGCTTCCTTCATTCGAATTAGAGACCCAAGAAACATTGAGGAATTATGATACTTTAACCAACAACGACTATTTGAAGTAAAAACTACGTTATGCATCACTTGAGCCATCAAGGGCTACACTTTATTGACCCATGTGTAACAGAAAACACGAATGTGGTGAATATGTTGTCCACTCGAATCCAATTCAAGTGATTTTACCATTTTTTTTCATTGACTGTGTCGCGATAAATCGGTCGCCTTTGCATGGAACTTTCTCGTCCAAAAAATTCCATAAAATATACGTCCAAAATATTTTTTGATATCTTGATAGTTTCGTTTATATTGTTCAACTTTATATTTTACGTTTATTGAAAATAATTTGCGTCATTTAAAGAAACTTTTGGAAGTTAATTGCTTTTGTAGTCTTATTATGTGATATTGAACACAATTTAGCAAGTGACATGTTGGTGTGAGATTCCAAAAATTTAACACAGGCAGATCGTCGTTCTACTTTGGTCAAAAACAACGAAATCATTAAGAAAATATTGCCCAAAAATCATCATTAGAGGAAGTGCGAAACATAAAATTCTCTCAAATATCTAATGTATCACCTCATTATACTTTTTTTTATTGAAATTTTGAATATAAACTGTTACATCTGCAATAAAACACCACAAAATAGCTTCCAAAACAAGTTCTTGGCAGTGATGACATATAAATTTAATTGCGGAGACATCTAGTTCAACAGATTGCTTCGGCTGTATTGTTCGCCCATTTTAACACTGATGTATTATATTTCATCTTGAAATTAGGATTTGAGTCAGTTGAGTTCATAAAGAATTTCCGGGCACACGGTAGACGGTTTTGCGTAACTGATGAATCGGTATTTTTACTCAACTAGTAACAGTGAGAATGGAGCCAAAGCTCTCTGAATACCATTCACTTGGAAGTGGCTAGAAACGAAAATAGTTCAAACAGCTCACAACGTCCGATTTTAGACCAATTATCCTCTGAGTAGCTAAAACGGCGAGATAAACGGAGAAGGTGAATCATTCCTCTCGAAGGTTTTGCGCTGGATTCAGAACCCTCCACGGAAAAAACATCCCCCATGAAAGTCAAAACAGTCTTCGATGAAAGACCCCTTTTTCTGATGACTGGAGCAGACTCTTATAGAACCCCTAGAGGTGATCTAGTGACTGATGCCCAGAGCATATTGAAATTATGAAGGATATATTTCTGTAGCCTGCTAAATGGTGCCAAAAACATAACATCAGCAGATGATGTACACGATCCATTGCCCGACCAAGAAGAAGTTCGAATACCAATTACTCATCTGAAGACAAAAACCTAGAGTGGGGCGGGGATTGAGCATGGTTGAATATTTAAGGGTTAAAAATGGTTTATGGGGGTATTCTAGTCTAGAAATTTGAAAAAAGGAAATTTTTCTTTCATAATTCGATAGTTTTGATAATCAAAAATATCTCCCGAAGTTGTAGCCATTTTAGTAACGTGGCAACTAAACCGGCTGAGCGAACTATCTATCTATCTGTTACGCTGCCCGAAACTTAACGTAAACCTTTAAAGGTGTTTTTCTTAAAACTCCTTTTTTTGATGCGGTAGCCACAATATCTCAAGTTCTAATCAGTCGATTTATTTGAAATTTGGCATGATAATGCTTTAAATATATCTCTATTACTAGAAGCAACAAAAAATAAAAACTTTAAATTTATCATATTTTTAAAAAAATCGACAGAATTGAAAAATTAGTGAAAAATTCACATTTTTTGAGCAGCCCACATTTAGTTTTGCTGCTTCATGGTATAGCGACATTCGTACTTATTAAGAATCTGTCATTGTTTTATTTATCAGATGACGGCTAGGGTAGAAATCATAGCGATGAGGACACGGACTCTTTTCCCCCCTTTTCTTCAAGGACGCAAAACTGAATGAAAAAAAAAATTTTTTCTTTTGAAATTTATTTTGTGTACTCTTTAAACAAATGATAAAAAAACACGGATAATAAAAATACCTTGTGTTTCTTTTTTATAACTTTATTGACATAGTTTCAAAATTTATGTTAAAAATTTAAAAAATTAATTTTTTTATACAAAAACCAACTTCCTGCAATTAATAAAATGCATGATTTTCCTTTTTTTGCTAGAAATATTATTCAGACGAACTATTCTAATTCAATTAAATCACATGACTACACAACATTTACGCACGCACTTGCGGTTAAGAGCTGTGGGTCAACAACTACAAGCGACGACTGCACGCGTTTTAATATCTTGTTAACCTTTTAACTGACACTTAACCCTYTGAATTGACCGCATGTTAACCATAAACACGAAACGAAGTATAGCCACGCAGTCGATGACAGTAACGG